TGTCCATGGACACATATAGATCTGCTGTTTACTTACCATGAAATTGTAGGTGTCAAAAAGTGAAATATGTAATCCAGTGTAAAACTAACAAGAAAAAATGTGGTATTCAAGAGTGAATAAGGTATCTCTCAAACAAGTTTTTGCCACCTATCAAGTGTCACAGAAAGGATGAAAACTGAACACATGGTTATTATGTAAATAGCACGGACCTGCTCTTACATCTGCAGTAAATGTATATGTTCTGCTTCTCTTTTGCTAATCACAAGATCTATTCTTAGCAGTTCTTGCTAATCTTGATCTAGACAAGAGCAGTAAACTACACACAGCTTCAAGTGCTGGGTTAAAAATAAGCTTGAGCTATTTTTTACCTACTCAGCCATCCACAGGCTTTTTTAAAGTTGAACATACATCTGGAAACAAAGGGTATTTAAAATGAAAGGATGTCTTGCAGGCTTATCCTTGACATTTCAGCAGCTTTTATCTTTGACCTTTCTACTTATTCTTCCTATTGAAGACGACACAGAGCGAGGCTGATATCAATAGCACAGGAACTCCATGAGTGTTTTGTGTGCAGGGAACAGAAACCCTGGAAGTAGAGATTAATTAATAATCTGAGCAGAAAGGTAATGGAAATCTAATACCTTTGAATCGACCTAGTTTGCAATGCAACTGGAGAACAAAGCTCTTAGCATCCACGTAATAAAACTAATAAGAAGAGTGCTCAGGCATTGAAATGTGCTACCCAGGGAGGTGGTGGATTTAAGAGTGCTCAGGCATTGGAATGTGCTACCCAGGGAGGTGGTGGATTCACCACTGGATGTGGCACTTAGTGCCATGATCTAGTAACCACAGTAGGGTTGGACTTGGTGATCTTGGAGGTCTTTTACAACCTGGTAAATTCTATGATAAAATATGTAACAAAATTACAAACTGAACTTTTTTTTAATCTGACTTTAACACTAGACATAGATACTGTTTTAAATGGTAGTTCAGCTTTTGCTCATATATATTTAGTAACATGCATGTATATTCACTTCTTAATTGCAAATATTTCAAAGCCATAAAGAACTATTGAAGTTACTATAGCAACAGCTGAAAAGGGATTAACGTTATCATATTGGCCACGTAAACTACAGATTACATACAGGTTTGAGACCAGATTATGATTTCATTTATAGCTGTATAAATCCTCAGAGAATTAAAAGCTTTGATCAATGAATCAGCCTTCCTTACGCTATTTAAAAGAGAATCAAATCAACTCTGCCAAAAGACTTTCCTGCTCTGTGTTTATTAGTTGAGCTTTGTTTATGCGCAAGAATCCCCAGTATTAAACCAAAATATTAGTAAGCACTACAATTCAGAACTGGAAAAATATTTGGGTAAGAATTAGAACTGAAATCAGTAATGACTACTACAAGGAGCTATCAAAATACATCAATGCAGGAAAAAAACCCCAAGCTCAAACCAGCTCTGTAGCAGCCAAACAGGAAAAGATCTAGGCATTATAGAGGATCACAGGCTCACTATGCTTCAGCAACATGAGGCCAGTGTGAAGCAGGCAAGATTTACCCAAGGATGTGGAAACAAACTGTCAACCCTGACAAACATTCTCCAAGGCTAACCAGTTTCACAAAAAGCCTCAGCAGAAGCACAGACATCCAGTTTTGGACACACAACCCCTAGGATCACTTCAGAAAAGAGGAATAAAATCTAAAAAATACCATAATCTATTGGAAAAAAAACCCAAAACATAACAACACGCAAAACTGATTAGAGTTGTTTGGTCTCAAAGAGATAAGAATGAGAAGCTATGGTAAGAGTTTTCAGACACACAGAACAATGCTACACAGTAGAAGAGTGTTGGTGCCTACTATTGATTGAGGAAAACAATGTGTTTTCATTCCAGTAAAGGATGTTTGGTTTAGAGAAATGATCTAATGACAGAAATAGAAAGACCTGCAAGAAACTCAGTAAGAAAAAAATTTTCATTGCTGCAACACTAATTTCATAGCAGGCTATCTAAGTGCCTTCCAGAAATGACAGATACATAATTGGTATGTTTCCTATTATTTTTCATTTCAACAGTGGAACTCCTCTACAGCAAAAAGAAAAAAATACAACTCTGGTGAAACTGCAATCTTAAAGATAAAGTACATCTAATTTAAAACTGGAAGTGTGTAGGAAGCTGGGTTTAGGTTTTGTAATTGGAGTTTCCTTGTGGGGTTTTTGTGGGTTTTTTTTGTTTGCTTTGTTGACTTGTCTGTTTGTGGGGTTCTTTTGGGGTTTGGTTGTAGTGCTTTTTTAAGAAATGCATTACAGAATCACAGAAATGTTTATGCTGGTAGAGATCTACTGAGATCACTTAGTCTAAACTCCTGCTCAAGCCAGGCCAAATGTAGCAGGTTTCCCCGGGCTGTATCTATAGAAGTTTTGAGTACCTTCATAGGCAGAAACTCCAGAACCTGTCTGGGCAACCTATTCTAGTGTTTGACCATGCTCACAGTAAAAAAGTGTTTTCTTGTGTTCAGATAAATTGCCATGCTTTTCAATTTGTGTTCATTCTCTCTTGTACTGCTACTAGGCACAACCAAGAAGAGCCTCTGTCCCTGTTCTTCATTCCCTCCCATCAGGTATTATACTGTGACCCATATACAAAAAGTGCAACATTGGGAAACAAAGCTAAGAATACCAATATTTACAGAATCAGAAAGAATGATGTCAAAACCAAACGATGATTGCTCTTCTATGCAATGAAATGAGTACCTAAGTGTCATTTGAAAGGGCTACTATTACTACATGCAGGAAAAGAAGCAACTAAAAGTTTTGCATAAGTGACTTAAGGCTTCTGTTTGACTTCCCTTAGACTTGCGTCGTTTTGCTTCCAGTTTTTAAAATAAATTACGGATTTGGGATTAAAATATAAACTCATACATACAACAGATTTCAGAATGCTCATCGCTGCCGTCCAGGCAGTCGTCGTCCCCGTCGCAGCGCCAGCGATCCTGGATGCAGCGCTTGTTGCTGCACTGGAACTGCTCAGCCTTGCACAACTGGGGCAGCACTTCTCCAGCTTTAACTAGGAAAAATATCCAAGAAGCACATCTACTTTATTTACTTGATACATAGAGTGCAATACTGCTTTGCAGAAATAGATATCAATTCTTCTCACTCTTCAGAGCATTTTTTAGTAAACTTGACTTATTGGAGGCAATTCCACCTGAAGTCTGTAGCAGCACAAGTATCCGAGTGCATGGTTGAAGTAATATATTTTTTACTAAATGGAAGAATTCAGAACAGAATGGCACTCAAACTGGTTTCTAAATTGGTGCTTAGATGGCAGTGTAAACATATTAGTTTAAAAAATTGCAACGCCTCATCAGCAGCTACAAAAAAATATTCTTAAGAGACATAGACCAAATTCTCGTGCACGTTTAGGGCTAGAAAATGATTCCTGAAAAGCTGATTCCTGTATCCAAGCAACATCTCAAACACCTGCATTATGTACTGGTACAGACTCAGCAAAGAAAAAAGGATAAAATTCTGTTGGGGTATAATTAAATAGCAAGCTACAAGCTTATTGATAAATCCAGACAGATATGTTTCTCAGCATAAGGTTCAGAATGCTCAATGTGTAAATACCACACATCAGCCTATGACCCTACAAAGAACAACAGAGTCCTTGGGAAGAGCCAGGCAGTGAACTATGTTGGGGAAAAAGCAGGAAACCTGCCTCATTCCAATCTCAAAGTGTCTATTCTCCCTTCCTAATGCTTACATCATGTCTTACCAGTGACAAGTCCACCTTCCAGTATTTTCTGCTAAAGGGAAAAACAGTTTACCAACAACTATGGTTCTGCCAGTCTGGCATTTGGGTCAAGTTCAAGGTCATTACAAGCTCACCGTTCAGCATCTTATGAAATAATCCTTATGCTTTACTCATCTGAGCTTCTTGCTATAGACTTCTGTAAAATTGTACACACTGTACTTCAAAAACCAGATCAATAAGATTAGAAAATAAAATAGAGGGAAAAGATGTGGCTAAGTTACAAATATCAGGTCTAAACATTAGGAAAAATACCTGTAGCACCTATGAGTTATTATTGTTAACTGAAAATCCCACCTTTTATTGTAACTTTTTTTTGTGTTGTATCAAGGAAGAGATGGAAAAAAAGACAGTAATATTTTCATAGTCTTTGTCAGAAACTATTATACATACATCTATCTGCTTGACATGTTTTATGAACAGTTTCAGCATGAACATTTAATACCAGATTCCTACTTAAGGTACTTATAGCTCATATAGTATTCTGAATCCCATTTATATAGATTTAATATAACAATTACATAGATTAACTTCTGATCTATTTAACTGCAGTGCTTGATTATATCAGACATGCCAAAATATCTTGCAGTGCATTTTATCCACAGATATTGTGTACTTAATACTCTGTCTTCCTTGAAAAATCTTTTTTATATTTACTGAATTGTCTTCAGCTAGAATCTTTATTCAAGGAATATTTCTTTGTCTTAGAGAACCTCTAGGAGGCCACACTTTCTTGTGTTTTTCACAGGTCTGACTTGATCCCTTAACAGCAGCATCAACTTAGATATTCTTTAGGAGTCTTACTCATGCAGGTTGTACTGTTTTCCTCCAAAAGCTGATTATCTGCACAGGCACAAACTCTGCCTCCAGGAATGGCTAAACAAAGGGTGCTGCAGCCTCCATTATTAACACGACATGCATTGTCACCTGGGAAAAGAAAAAAAGCAGCTTCAAAACAAACAGACATGCTAGAACTAGACATTTGGGTTTGTTGGGGGGGTTTTTTTGAACATAAACACATGAAGAATTTTTTACAATTATTTTTTTTTTTGAACACAAACACATGAAGAATTTTTTACAATTATTTTCCTCTCATTTTAGGGACACATTATTCTCAGAGTTTGCTTACTGCAGGTTATAATACTTATACAGACTTAGTCACCACTTTCCATCTCTCTTTTTAATGAGGGGAACAAATAGGGCAAAATATTTGATGCAGGTACATGTGTATAGGGGTTTCAAGAAATCAATCTATAAAGGAATCTTCTGAAGTTAATTAGTATATGCACATGTTAAAACAATGTGACTACAAATGCAGGCAAAGAAAAAGGAGAAAGGAAACAAATTAAAAGTACAATGAGATCTATGGCAGAGACAACACAGGCAAATATTCCACTACTCTTTTCTGAACACATTTTGCTATTTCTGTGTCTTCTTCTTCTGTTATTGTTTCTTCCCAAAAGCTGTACATTGTTCACACAAAGATACTGACAGCTGTCAAGTGTTTTAATCATCTCCCAAGGGCTGCTGCATCCTCACTACGTCATTCCTTAAGCAAACAGGCTTAAACCCACTGAAAGCACATTGAAACAAACATTATGATTTCTCTTTGTGCCACTTTGGTCATGACCTAATTGCTTAGATATGCATTGCTGAGAACATCCAACTGATCATGGTCAAAGCACTGTTGATTTCAAGTGCTGGTGATAAGTGACTATGATCAAGCAAGATATAAAACTTCATATCTGCTAAAGCTTTAAGTTAAAACTACTCTTTTCAACTTCCTGCCTTAGTAAAAAGCAGGGGTTCCTTTCCCTGCTCCTTTCTGTAAAGGTGTATGAAACATTCATCATGTTCCTGGGTTAAAACAGACTCCACACAATTTCCTGTCCTCAAAGCACTATCAGTTCACTTTTTATGGAAAATATGATATTAAGTTACAGATGTAGGTACAAACATGGATATTAAACTGTCCTGCATGTGTAGGGAGATCTTTTCAAATTATCAAATGAAGATCAAATAACCAGCAAATAATGTAAAACTTGAAAATTTTGAAAATCTTAAGGTGAACCTTGATACATCTTACAATAGACCTAGAGCATTACTTAATAACCTTTTCCTATACTTTTTTCCCGACCCATCATACATAATTTCTCAGAAGCAAATGTGTCTACAGTTCATTAAAATCCCAGTGAACTCCCAAATAAATTTCTGCAAAATAATTGATATGTTGTGGGAAGCCACTGTGGTACCTCTACTTCCATTGGGCATGATGTGAGGGAGATGGAAAGAACATAGCTGAATAAACAGGAAAAACTGGAATTCCCTGTGAAATGTGAATTTTAGATAGAACAGTTCCAACTCAGACTAGGCTTGAATAAACAGGAAAAACTGGAATTCTCTATGAAATGTGAATTTTGGATAGAACAGTTCCAACTCAGACTAGGCACTTAAAATACGTTATTGGATCTTGACTATGACCTAAACCACTACAGAAATCAACTCCTTTGTTACATCTGTGCACACCAAAGCCCAAATAATATGAGCAAAACATCAAAAGAGATGCATTTGATTTTCCATGTTATAAAACCTTATGCAAAACACAGCCTCAGAAAAAGTAGCCTTAAAACGATCTACATGTTCACAGGACCCATTGTACAAATTAAAGGATGGCAGAAACACAAAGATTAAAGAAGTTATCAGATGCTGCCAAAAGAAACAAACCAAAATATAATATTCAAAAGTGAATTTAAAAATTACATAGCACAAGTCCAGGAAATTTACAGCAATTTAATTCAAGAATATACAGGAAATTGTCAAGTCACTTGGTAAGAATAAGCCTAGAGAATAAAATATTATAGTAGACAAATATAGAGAAAATATTGAAAAGTCACAATGATTCTGAAGCCCAAGGCAAGCTTAAAATAAATAACATCAAAATTAAAAAACTAGATCAAAGTCAACCTGTCCATCTTGAAGATGAAAAGTTTCTACTTAACCTCCTAATTGAGATGAAGAACTACAACACAGCATGTTACCTGCTAAGTGAGTGATAAAAGAGAGAATGACGAGAAGGAAAATAGAAGTACCAAGAGTTAAAGAAAAAGATCCTAGATAAAATGGTTTTTAGAGTGAAGTCTTCAACCTGAAGGTGCAATGAGACCCTCAGACCTATCAGTCTTGCTGAAGAAACTTCTAGGCCAAGATGTCTATCAAAACACAGTACAAATAGGTTAAGCCTCTCTATTGAATAAGCTGTGGAACTTGCAAACCTACCAAGTATTTAGGAAAGTAAATTTCCCTGACTAACATTCAAAACAGCTATTTTAAATGGTTGTTCTTAAAATAGTCCCAAAATTCTACAATACTTCCAAAACTAGATCATACTTTTCAGATTTTGTCAGCATTTAAAACAGCTGCTGCCCTGCCACTTCCATGACTAAATTAGGCTGACATCATTTTAATTAGCTAAAAAATTAAGCCAGAGCTAAAACAACAACGTAATTGCATCTCAGTCGTCATCCTCAGAAAAAAAAAATTGTTGCAACTCTAGTACTGTTAAGTTTTGTAAGTCTATTCTTGGGATTATACTACACGTATGAAGAGCAGTGACCTGGGGCTCAAGCAGCTCTTCTTTGCAATCTGAGGAGTTGAAATACTGATTTCAAAAGAGCCAACTTTAACTACTGTAAATGCACTTACAAAATCATTATTTACATATTAGTAGCAATGTTCTTTTTCAAAGCAGTGGAAATACCCACAGGCCTTGGCAGGATCATATGATTCCTGCCACCTCTCTGGTTTTAAGACATTCCTGATGCATAGAGACTCAAAGACTAAGCCTAAGAAAGTAAGATGAATTCTAATCTCTGAAAGCAACAAAAAAAATGTTCCTCTGCTAGAGGATCATGCCTCATGAGCTACAGAGCCAGTGAAAAACACCTCTCCTTAAGGAGATACCAAAAGCTTAATATTGTTACCCAAAGCACTAAGCAAAGCAGGATTGGCACAGACAAGGATCCTGTAAAAGACCCCTAATAAAAATGCCAGTCTCCATTCAACTATGCCAAAATGAATTGATGTGGCTTCTGCTTGTGTCGACAGTGACAATAACAGCAGCAGCAAAACACTAACCTCAGAATATCAGAGCCACATAAGTTATAAAATATAACACATACTATAAAATGGATTGGTATGGTTTTCTCTGTACCACATGGTTCAGCCTTCGTCTTGCTATTTTAGAAGGAACATACCAAAAAAGAAAAAACTAGTTGGACTTTCTATCTTGCTCTTTTAGAAGGAACATACAGAAAAAAAAAAGAAAAAACTAGTTGGACTTTCTTTAAAATAAATGTTTATGCTCCTTTGGGAACAATGCAAGATCAACCTCACTGAGCATGACAAAAAGGGAAGATCCTAAAGGCTGCAGTTAGCTTACAAAATTCCAATTGCAATTTCAAACAGAGAATGTATTAATGAGCCAAATCCTCTCTCTCAAGACTTAAGCTCATTCAGCAAAAATGTCTATGAGGTAATACTTTAGTCTTTTATCTCTGGTGTCAGCTTATTTGGAACCTAATAGCAATGGCATTTAAAAATTAATGTCCCTCTTTTTCTAAAAACAAAGGAACTTTTTGAGTACTGGATAAAGCAGAAGTACCAAGTATTTAAAGCAAACACTGCTCTCTATCAGCAGACACACAGTTCAAAGCATTCTGAAATTTGGCCAACTTCAGGGAAGATTTGGGGCCAGATTTTGCCTTAAAAAAAACCCAAATAAGCAAAAAAGCCAAACCACAACAAACCCAACCAAAACCCCCAAACAAACTATACTTTTACATGTGTTTCAAAGTAAGAGTCCCTGAAAACCATCTGTGATACACTGACCTCAACACAGGACAGTACTACATATGCTACACATAGTTTGGTTTAAATACTTAAAATTTAGATGTCATGGTATCAAAAAGGAGAAACTTTACAGCAGTAAAACAGCAATCCTTTACACAGTATTTTATTTATACTAATTGCTGATCATTTTTGTTTGCTGGGAAACATTAAACTGAAATGTTTCCACAAAAGTAAGCAAATACTCAGCAATTCATCTGAACGCTGTAGCAATTGCACTTTCTAAACTCCATCCATGCAAACCTATGGCCTTTATCTCATTTTTCTCCTGATACAACTAACAATGACTATGGATTTTTCCACTACTCTCAAAGACCACTTACTCTGATTCTGTTCAACAGCACCATACCTTCAGGAGATGAAGTCATACAGTGCTGATGTAGACCAAGATGAGGGAGAAAATTAAAGAAAGAAAAGAAAGGTAGGATCTATGGTCTCATTTAAGAAAAGTAGAATACAACAGTATATTTTATGCCTATGAGCCAATGCGTACACGTTATCCATTGTATTTAATGCTTTCACAGTGTCTCTTGGACACCCAAGAAAAACTGGCAATAAAGGCAGTGTAAATACACAGAAGAATTCCAGACAGGTATATTGCTATGACTCACTTTTCAGTAACTATGAAATGAGCAATGTCAACATCAATGGATTTAAGCATTGGAAAGAATCTCTCATGTCACAGGTTTGTTTTTCTATTGTTGTTCAGGTAGTCACCTCAAAAACATTAGGAAGCTGTAAGGAAAAAGATCCTTTGGAATGTCTCATGTCACAGGTTTGTTTTTCTGTTATTGTTCAGGTAGTCACCTCAAAAACACTAGGAAGCTGTAAGGAAAAAGATCCTTTTATAGCAGACCTTTTGAAAAACTGAAAAAAGTACCTTGCTGTTTACGTGGATCGTAAATCTGGAGCCCAAACAATGGTGGTCTCTCACTTCTCAACAGTGTCACATTCCTTGTAAGTAGATCCAACTGGAAAATTGACCCATTCATATAATCTGTCCAGTAAATATAATTTCCATGATGTGACAGTCCAAAAGGATGATTCAAATCTTTTCCACTGTAGACTACCTGCAATTAATTAGGGGTAGGTGAACATAAACAAGGTGAAAATAATTACTAATTTTTCCAGAGGACATAAAATGGGACATAGGAAAACTGAGATCAGTACTGTGCCCAAATATAATAACTTAATGCAACAAAATCAAATTAAGAGTGCAAAGCCCTTCTATGCAGCAGCACCAATACCTAACTTGAAAAAAATTAGTAGAAATTTACTTTAAGTGGCCCCTGTCAGATAGCACAGGAACAGGCTGCCCAGGAAGTGGTGGAGTCACTAACCCTGGAGGGATATAAGAGATCTGGAGATGTGGTGTTTAGGGACATAGTTAGTGATGAACTTGGCAGTTCCAGGTTAAGGGTTGGACTTCAAGCTCTTAAGGTCTTTTCCAACATAAACGATTGTATGATCCTGTGATTCTCTAACAGCAGCTAGTCTGATTAGTACATGATTAGTCTCCTGCTGGATGGGATCCCTGCCTGAACTAATGCCCAACAGCCTATTTCTATCTTGCCTCTAGAGAGAAGGAAGCAGTTCATCAGATGCCCTATCTTGTCTCTATTTATAGACACGAACCCAAGAGAACAGGGAGATAAAGCCAACTAAAATGCAACTACTTTGAGGCGACAAACATCATCCTCTTTTGCCCTTGAAATTTTCTCTTCAGGCTTGGAATTCTTTTAGACAAAACTCCTTATCTCGGTGAACTGCTTTGCATCAAAAGTAATCAATTAGTAAATAATCCATCAGCTACTGGGGGAACTATTGTAGGAGCTTCCCACCCCCCAAAATATTCACTATATTGGCATGGAATTGAAGGTGTTATTGATCCAGTTAAATTCTGACCAAAATATCCTATATTTAACAGCAAATGATTAAGCATCAAAAACAAGTATGTTCTAGTTATTTTTGGCTACGTAAGTTTTCTTCAAGTAGTCATGCATTTTATTTATATCCCAGGCTTACAAAAAAAGTACTTTTCCAAAAACCAGAACTATTCTGTGACACATTTTAAAAAAAAATATGTAAAGACAGGTGCTTCTTATTATTCACCAGTCAGTAATTTTATGAAGAAGATGGTATCACTGTGGTCTAAGCTTCAACTGTTTTTGAGAGATCTTGTTTTGTGCTTGTTGCTTCTACAAAGACTTGTATCTAGCTCATAATGCCACTAGTAGCAACTAAAATGGTATCTCTCTATCTTTGGCAGGATTTGTTGAGTGCTGCCCCTCTGCCTGTTACCACAAGTTCTCAAATGGGGCACTTGGTTTCATTGAAAGTAGCTTAATCAAGTTAAATAAAAGTCTCTCTGGCACAGCCAAATGAATGTTTTCTTTTTCTACTACAAAGCTCTTTGTACCTTTCTGGCTCAATCAAAACATATCTCATTGTCACATAATAAAATAAAAATCAAGTTTTGTGCCACTTACTCCAGATGACAATTTTAAGCTGCATTACAGTCTCTCTCACAGGAGGCTGCCAACATCTCTTGCTTCAGCAGAGATGATGCTGGACATGCTGCAGGGTCATGCTGACTTTAAAAACCTTGAGAAGTATTTTTAACATAACACAATAAAATCCTGAGACAGAGCCTGCCTGTGGCAAAACAGCAGTATTTTTCTTTTACCTTTCTGTCAGTTCCATTCAAAAATATCCTTTCAATGTGATCATAATAGGCATCACACCAGTATAACACATTGGCACGATAGTCCAGAGTTAAACCATTTGGCCACAGCATCTTTGATGTGACAAAAATCTGCCGACTGTAGCCATCCATCCAGGCCTTCTCAATTCTTCCCACACTGTCATCTATTTCATCTTCTTCCCAGTCTGTCCAATACATCCATCTATGAAATTACAGAAATGAACATTCAGATCTCATTTTAATCATCTGAATTATACTGTAGACTTTTAGCACAGTTCACCCACAAGCCAGAGAGTTTTTGACTTTTCTATGTTTCTTTCCATTGCTGTTTCAACAACTAAATTTCCTCTCCCTATGGACTGGATGCTGCAGTAGTGACACTTAGGTTGTTTTGCTCATGTTGTGATGAATTACATGAATACCAAATGGGCCAACTAACAAGAAAAGTGAAAGAATTATTTAATACCTTATTTGGTCCCACAGATTTGTGATTTTTTTTTTAACCATTCAATGGACTTTGTCAGGAAGTTCAAACTTTTACAGTGAGTTTTTTTTCATCGGGTCTAATTTGCCATTATGATGCAAATCTGCCTTTCATTATGCTTAATACAATCCAAAAAGTTGCAATACATTAATTAATTGCACTCTAGTTTAAGACCTACAGGATAACCTTGACATTCTGCAAACTTCAGATCCCACATGAAAGCAGCTAAATTACTCAGAAAACTATTATGAACCCTCTGTCCATCACAAAGACGTTTAGAAAGCTTTGTTGCAAAAATTAGTTGAAAACTAGCTAGTAGGCAATTTTAGCATAGTTCTATGATTTATAGCACTGCAATGTAGATAACAAAAAAAAAAAAACCACCTCAGAAGAACAGGCATCTATGCTACTTTGGAAAAATTAAGCAAGACTGTATTAATTCATCTAAAAGTTTTGGCTCAGTTCTGTGAGCCATTCTCTACTCAACACTACAGAATACACATTATATTTCCTTTACTTCTGAAATTAATTTGATTAACATCTTTTATTACAGAAGTCGCTGGTGAAAACTGATTTCAGCAATTTAAAACACACAACTTGAACTTGTACCAAAGCAGAGGGCAATAAATACGTTAAGAAACGTCATGTTTTTTCTTACTTTTTTTCCTAAGAAAGAGAGTAGTTCATGGAAGAAATACAAAGGAGCCTATATATAATCTGTAAAGCACCTAAACAGCATCTCAGATCCTACGACATAGTGACATCATTTAATAAATCAAAACATTTACTAAATAGCAGATGTTTCCTTTCAAAGTCAAATCTAGGATTTCAATTATTAAGCATGAAATAGAGGAAAACCATCATACCAATCTTAAATGGAGCCTATCTCTTAATGTTATCATGATTTAATTGGTCTTGATGTGCCTCACCTTTTATTTTACCAGATTAATCTTTCTGCAATAACTTCTGATCCTAATCCACTTAATGAGCCTCTACTTTGAAGAATAAAATCCTGGAATTTACATTCTAAATTTACCAAAAAAAATGAAACACTGAAGTGAAGAATTATTTAATCATCATACCTGTGTAAATGATGTCAAGTCTACTGGTAAAAAATTTTATTCAAATACACTTTAATGTGTTTTCATAATTTGACTTTTTTTTCAATATAAGAAACTGGATAAAATAAAGAAAAATTGCACAACCATTAAAAATGTTTACTGATATGTAAATGTAGCTTTTTTGTTGTTTTTTTCCATCTCTTTCAAGTCACCCACCAGAAGGTTATTTTGGATTCTTTTAATATTTTCGTAAATATATGCTAGGAACATCAGCCAATTTTTGATCCGTGAGGCTTATAAACTTCATTGCATATTTGGCTCAAACAACACTAGTTTTAATCACAGAATTATAAAACCTGCATATGCCCTGAAGCTCAGGCAGACACAGGTCAATATGGTACTTAGTTTATTGGAAGGCAAAATATGTTTTACAAATATTTACATGACTGCTCTACAGCAATTACTGAGCTTTCCTCCATTAACTTTTTGTCTGTACTTATTCTAGTTATCATGTCACAAGCTAAGACATGCTTACAGTAACAGACATTCACATCAATGTGCTTTAATTGTATCTCAAAATGCAGTTAATGCTTCCACGTTGGTTAAATCAAGACTAATACTTTTGAAACATAATTAAAATACCATAAATAAATGCCATCCCTCAGGAAGAGCTTCCATGAGAAGTATAATCATGAAGGACATGCTGTTTTATTAGAGAAGTGTTTTATATAATAGCCTTTTCAGATAATACATCTTCATACACTGTTTCCTGTGCTATGCGTTTACTGAGCTGGAAAATTTAACACAGTAATTGTAGGTGTGGTTACGGTTTGTGGTCTGATTTTCTATCCTTGCTCTCTGACCTCAATGAATTGTAGCCTTTCCACAGTCACTTCCACTCCTCAAAGGACAAGCTCAAAGAGAAAACCTGAGAGTGTAAATATTTTCTAGCCATAGCAAAACAATCAATCCAGGCACTCTAACAATCTACCTGCATCATTCTCCAGGGACAACTCCCTGAAGAAATGCAACTATGAATTTTTAAGTAAACCACAACTATACCACACTAATATAATGTTCTTTTTATTATGCAGCCTGTCAGAATTAATTATGCTAATAAGTAATGAGAAGTACCTGTCTCATTTAGTTTTGTAAACCAATGTGTACAAGGATATGGTCATAATTACCTTCAGAAATTGAGACTTACAAGGAGAGAAATAAAGCAGAATATCATAAAGTTCACTTAATGTTACAAATACATACAGGTCTAATGCACACCATTAGTTTGAGAAAAAGGTGAATTATTCAGATTAACAGGACAGACATTCAGAGGTGACTGGGCAGACCCATTCTTCTGAAGGCTTCAGGCAAGAACACTGGACAGGAAGGGCAGATATTAGAATGGACCTTAAAGATAATCAAGTCCCAACCCCCACGGCCATGGACAAGGACACCTCCCCACTAGACTACACTGCTCAAGGCTTTATCCAACCTGATTTTGAACACTGCCAGGGTTGGGGCTGCAACCTCCCTAGGCAACCTGTGCCAGTGTCTTACCACTCTCACATTAAAAAGCTTCTTCCTATGACTAATTTAAATTTCCCCTCTTTCAATTTATACCCATTACTCATTGTCCTAGGACTACAGTTCCTAAAACACTCCCTCTCTAGCTTCCCTGTAGGCCCTTTCAGATACTGGAATGTTGTTATGAGGTCCTGATGCATCCTTCTCTTCTCCAGGATGAACAGCCACAACTTTCTAGGCCTGGCTTTGTAGGGAAGGTGTTCCAGAACTGTATGCAGTACTCCAGGTAGGGTCTCACAAGAGCACAGGGGAGAGAATCACCCTGGCCATGTTCCTTTTCAGGCAGTCCAGGACAGGTTTGGTTTTCTGGGCTGTAAGACTCCTATAGAATTAGACTACTGCATGACTCCACAAACCTCATCCTAAGCAAATTAAATCCTGTAATTATACTATAAAGACAATCATTAAACAACATTAATTAGTTTACTTCATACCCATTGACAGGATCAACAACAATTCCTCTCGGGTGAGACATGTCTCCCTCCAACAAAGTTTTTCTACTCTGAGCAGCTTTTTCCAGTCTGGCAACAGCAATTGTTTTCCTGTGGCCATCATTTGTCCAATAAAGATTATTTCCAATCCAGTCCACTGCTATGCCTTCTACATTATCAAGATCTGTAGAGAGAGAGAAGACAGTAGTAAGAAATTAATATTATTTATGTCCTAACATTATCCATTAGTATAAACAATGGACAATGTACAGTCCATATAGCTAATTAGATTATTGCCTTGAATCTGAATTATATCTGCTGTGTCTGTCAGAATTAGTCTCTGTTGAAAACACCCTGCAAAAGACAAATACTGGTCATAAAATTTGTGTATTAAACTATAAGTCTTCGTATGTTAACCATAGCTGGCCCTGGGGAAATCACTATTTAACAAAACCGTAATTAATTTGAACCCTAAATAGCATTATCATTCAAGTAAGAAGAGCTTCCAGGATCACCTCCAGTACTCTAAATTATCTTGCTTTTACCAAATTCACAGGTTTTGCTCTTATTAAGAAAGAAAATAGACAAAAAGGACATTCAATTTGCCTTTGGTTCATTGTCCCTTGACCTTAAAAAAACATGTAAGGAAAAACATCACCACAGCCTAAATTACTCCCCACAGTTACATGCATGAGCAAAGAGCAAGTGGAGGCACCAATGGGCCGAAAAGTTTGACAGTGGTAGAGTTCCATCCAGAACTAAAATGAGTTAACAACACTCACTGCATACACATGGAAATTTTCCCATTGGAGAATTAGTAAAATAATTCCTCAAGCAACAAGTTTTCCCTGAAACTCACCCAACACCCTGTAATATGAATGGAGCTCTGCTCTCTCCCACACAATCCCAACTCCTTAACTGACAATATAGGGTCTCTAAAAGGTTTTCCATCTATATTCTGTCATATCCTTTGCCTTTTCTTTCAGGAAGATTGCAAAGCCCAGGGGTGTGGGGCGAGATATGGAGAATTTCCAGTCATTCTTTCCTGGCCTTCGCAGTGCAGTGACAGCTGAGGAACAACTCAGTTTTAGGCATCACCTTGGCCAGGCAGCTGATCCCACACCAGCCCTGTGGCCACTACACAAGGCTATTGAAGCAAAAATGACTGATAATAACTTCAAATATCCCAAACCACCTCCTGCCAGTGTGGTCACTCCTCATCCAAAGGCTGATTTCACCACTTGCCATGATCTACCAGAGTGATCCTGAGGGGATCGATGGAGCACCACACAGGTGATGCCACCTGTTCCAGCTCCTGTCCCCCACCTGTACACAGGCTCTAGTAGCTCAACATGAGGCATGTGCTGCTCCTTTTCCTCAGTCCCTCCATGGTGCTTTTTTCCAGCAGGATGGAGCTGCTGTTCCATATTCCCCTCTGGATCAGCTAACACCAAACTCCCACTGAGCACAATGTTCAGAAGTAGTCCAACCTAAATTCCCCAAGCTCCCAGGGCACACCTTGCCCCAAAGTGCCCACAAACCCCTTAGACAAGTACCTCTAGCTGTTCCCCCAAAGTTGGCCATGACTGGCTTCTCCCTACCTTCCCAGCACCGACAGAGCAGTCTGCATTGACTTAGGGTGGGAACACTCATTTTATAGCCATCACCTGGGATAAATGGGCTAATGGCTTAGCAGCCAACAGGGATGGCTGCAGTGCTGCCTCAGGACCTGAAGCTTCACCAGACCCAATTAGTGCCTCCCTTTGTGGGGATACAAATGAAGGTCAGTATGGCTGAAAAGGTAAAACCCAACTAACAAGCAAACACACAAACACTGAAACCACCTCCTCCTTTCTACATTGCTTCTTGACAATACAGACCACGTTACTTTTTTGTACAGTACAATTTCAATGACAGGAATGATCAAGACATGAAAAAAGGAATGTAAATTTTCTGTTCATGGTTACACCAGCAATGACATCTACATGCAAGCTTTCATCAGATTTGTTCTTTCTCACCAGTGCTGGCATCATTTTCTGATCAACACTAGAAATATTTGAGAGATTTTCCCAGAACAAATGTGGGGCAGGGAGATTTTCCTCCCGATGCACATAAAAAAATCAATATATTGTCTTTTTTTTGTTTTTTGAAATGGCAAGATGACCAAATCACTGATCCGAGTTCAAGCACATTTACACCAGATACACTTGTGAAAATCTGCTAAACTGAGCACACCTGTTTACAATCTGAACTGTGCTGCCAGACATATGTAATTTAACTGTCACCTTTCCAGACAAGAACTCCACATGAACTTGTGAAGTGCTGGTTTGGGACATTTCATGCTTTTATCAGTTATTTTTACTGCAACAGCCTTGTGCACTGGCATTGTGTTGTCACCCCTGAAGCCCTTCCTCAGCTTTCTCCATCAAAATGTCTCCCCATGATACAATCAGTAAGCACTAGTGGAAAAGTATTACTAACATTGGCAACTTCAGCATCCCTACAATTCTTCCTTTCTAGGACATCAGATTTATTTTCCATGGGATAAACTCTTCACCAATAATATTTTTTAGACCACAAACAACTTAACTGACTATGGTTCTAATAAACTCATTTATTTACTACAAATAAAGTAGCAAAATTGTTTGTGAGGGACTGGAATGCAAAGCTCTTTGACCAACTCAGTGTCTACAGAACTTAGCATAGAAAACCTTCTGCTTACTACAGCAACCCATACATAGCATATGGTATGTCATCAGCAACACACTAAGATAAAATATGACAGTTTTACCCAATAAATGAAATATGGGTCTTTTTATACACTTGGATGCATTAACAGCATCTATAAAAGCTGCATTGTAGCATGATAAATTACTTCACAAGGGTTTTGTTGAGTAATATTTTTAGTGGTTGTAATACCATTATATTATAGTCCCTATTAAGCTAGCAGAGCTATAATGTTTTCATATACCTTATAATTGCAAAACTATTAATTTTAAATAACTTTTTCCTTTAAAAAGGAAGCAAAACACATTTCAAAATAATGTTGAAGTATATAAAAATAGTTATAAACTTGCACTGTACACTAAAATTTAAAAATAAGAACCATAACATTTATTAAAGGAGATAAAAATAGCCCTTATTAAGAGAGGCATTTCCATCAGAATGCTATTGATGTTTAAAAAAAGAAAATTTTAGAAACTGCTATTCCCCTTATCAGTATTGTCTGTCTGGGCATAAAAAAAATGGACAAACAGCATAGATGAATAAAGATAAATATGCAAATTAAATATATGGTTTTTACACACAATGAATATGGCAATAAAATAGAAAGTATTTGAGAAGTGAATTTACTTGTCTTGAAGAAATCAGCAGTGTAGAGTAGTTCAGGATTCTTTCTAGCTTTAATTCTGTGTATAATCATTCTATGTAATCATCCTATCCCACGTTAAATGAATGCATATAAAACTGATGTATTTACACACGATAGGTTTAGTTTATTGGCTTTTTTTCTTTAACCCTTGAACTGCAATGTGTAATGTACCACCTGCAGTGACCTGAACAGTAAAAAGAATTAAAGGTATGTAAAATCTCCAGCTGCCATTTAAATGGGTAGTTCTCTGAACACCAGAGCAATTGAAGCCAGACTACATCTGTATTCATGTGTTTTTTTGGTTTTGGGCTGTTTAGATGAAGAAAAGTGGCTTTTTTTCTTTAACCCTTGAACTGCAATGTGTAATGTACCACCTGCAGTGACCTGAACAGTAAAAAGAATTAAAGGTATGTAAAATCTCCAGCTGCCATTTAAATGGGTAGTTCTCTGAACACCAGAGCAATTGAAGCCAGACTACATCTGTATTCATGTGTTTTTTTGGTTTTGGGCTGTTTAGATGAAGAAAAGTGAAGTGAACTCCTTTCTTTGGGCTGTTTAGATGAAGAAAAGTGAACCTTTTTCCTTTCTTTCATTATAATTCCATTTCACAAGTTCTGTGTTCTTGTTATGCCCAGCTGCAGAAATCAATAAAATAAGAGTGACCTTGCAAATCATCAGTCCTTGGTATTGCTTCTCTCTATTTTTACAAAAATTTGGGATTTAAATTATACTTGGACGTCTGCCCTATATATCAAATTAATTTGAAATGATTCTGAAGGTTCAAAAAATACTACAGAAAGACAACGGCAGTCACCAATGTATCAAAGAAACCTTGTTCCCTGAAAAAATTAGACCTAAATTTAATAAATCAGTCAGGTGTGTAGAGATCATAGAATCATAGAATCAACCAGGTTGGAAAAGACCTCAAAGATCACCAAGTCCAACCCTATGGTGGTCACTAGTCCATGACACTAAGTCCCACATCCAGTCTCAGCTTGAAAACCTCCAGGGATGGTGAATCCACCCCCTCCCTGGGCAGCACATTCCAATGCCTGAGCACTCTCTCTGGAAAAAATCTCTTCCTAATATCCAACCTACCCCTCCCCTGGCAGAGCTTGAGTCTGTGCCCTCTTGTCCTGCTGCTGGTTGCCTGGGAGAAGAGCCCAACCCCCACCTGACTCCAGCCTCCTGTCAGGGAGTTGCAGAGGGTGAGAAGGTCTCCCCTGAGCCTCCTCTTCTCCAGGCTGAACACCCCCAGCTCCCTCAGCCTCTCCTCATGCCACTTGTGCTCCAGTCCCTTCACCAGCCTCGTTGCTCTTCTCTGGACCTGCTCCAGCCCCTCAATGTCCCTCCTGAACTGAGGAGCCCAGAACTGAGCACAGGATTCAAGGTGTGGCCTCACCAGTGCCAAGTCCAGGGAAAGATGGCACTACATCCTGCACTATGCTATTCTAACACTGCAATATGAGAAAGTTATGAGATAAAAAAAGGTGGCATATGCTGAGGGGTTCTCTAAAATATGTTTTAACATCTTTATCTATATTTCTGATACACCTAAAGATCACTGTACTCGTGGGAAACTATTTTCCCTAGTGATCTAAAAAGCTGGAGGAAAGAAACGGTGTCAAAATTCACTCTCCAGGATATAAAACAACAGTATGATGACATACCTGAGCCAGCAGCCACCCAGTCTGACAAGATTCACCCAAAGTACAAAACAAGTGTGGATCAGTGAGTGTCTGAGCTCAGTGCCAGCAGCTCAGCCAGGCTTCCCAGGCTGATGGACACTGTCAGTTTTATTTTTAGTCTCAGTGCCTTTCCTTCAGTCTTTTGTAAAGACCATGTCAGAGTCAGCTGGAACTCTCTGACAGTGGAGTGTGGCCTATGGTCTTAGGCTGATCAAGTATGTTGGGAAAAGTGCAAAGTATGGAAAGGAAAAGAAGAGAGTATCTCACCAAGGACCTGGAGCCCAAGGCTTGCAGAGAAAAACTGCTGAACAGAACAGGCAACAGAGACAAACCTCAGCTGTGAAACAAATGTCTTTTAAAGTTCTGAGTGGTCTCAGCAGATTTTGCTCAACTCAAGAAAACACTGAAATAAGTAAAATCAAGCTTCAGGACAAGGAAATTCAAACCCCATTTTAATTTTGTTCTCTCTGACCTAGGCATTTTGGGCTAAACACATATTTTATAGTAATAAGATCAATTTTTTAATGAAAATAGTTTGCTGCCTTTTTCCTTCTTCAGGAGACAAAGCATTCCAAATATGAACTGTATTAGTATCAACAGCAAAGCTAAAGTGTTAGATTTCAATGCTAGATAGCTCCTAAACTTTGCAAGCATAATGCTCTACGTTTATTCAGTTTCATATATTAGCTAATGAGCTATTTTGGAGCACTCATGTTTCTAAACCAAATAAAATTAAAGCCAAAGAAAATCCCACGGTGATTAGATACAAAATATATCATAAAGATTTAAAGGAAAAGTTTACAGCACAATCCTATAGAAGGATTTAACTTTCTTTTTGTGAAGCTATGGTTTAAAGTACACTTTTATTTCACTATCTAAAGGCTTTCAATACATTTATTACTTTCTAAATGGGTTTCACATCAAGTAGTAAACAGGAACAAAATAATGGCCATTCTGGTTAAACAACATTGATTTGTCTACAGTAAGTCATGCTGTTTGCAGTGAAGTCCTTTCAACAATAAAAAAAAAAAGGATGAGATAATAAAATACCATTGTGGTCATTCTTCACTCACTAATTGAAAAGTTAACATTTATAATTCTGGAAATACTACCACAACTTTACTATCAACAGTAGTATATGGGTTGCAAATACAGTGAATATAGATAGCAGATTTTTAAAAACTCATAGTTCTAGAGGCAACAATTTGCCACACTGGTTTTAAATATGAAAGATATTAGAAGCACAGCATGCAATTTTATACAGAATGGCCTAGCCATACATGTCTGTTAGATCATGTATAATAATTGTGCCTAAAATACTAGATTACCATATAAACTGGTGAAAGAACTAAGTCTTCTATATACCAACCAGTCAAACAGCTTCCAAAGAATTTATAAATTTACTTTGGCCTTATTTAAGCAACAGGTAGCCCCTGACCATCTTTACTAATATTTACAATTTTTAGGCTCACAGCAACCCCAAACAACCAAAAGGGGACCAAGACAAGTAAAAAAACCCCTCAACTTTGTGTTTGTGCTACATCAGCTGAACAATATTTAGATCCCTTTGAACATGCCTGTTTGTTCCATATTATAATTTTAAAAAACTGATTGACATGCAAGTTTGAAAGCTTAATCATAACAATTTCTGTGGCTGGTGGAAGTACACTGCTATTGCAGTTGTGCCTCCAGCTCTAGGCTAGGCTGAGCTGTGGGCTGTCAAGTAGTTATCAGTACTACACAGCAGTTTGTTTCCCATAGTGAAGAATAAGAATTCACAGCTGATACTGTATGGGAAATCAAACTCCAGCAGTGTTAGTTCTTCAGTGTTCTCAATTCCCAGTCAACAACTTGTAGGTTCAGGCTCTCATGTAGGCAAACTGTAATTATCCAAGGTACACTGTTGTTTGAGTGAGTGTATCTGTTCTTGAAAAATCTGATAGTCACAAAAAATGACAACTTCTAATCTGAGAAGTGGCACCTACCCCAGATAGAGCTCCTTAGCAGCTTGCTGTTCGGAGTGAATATTACACCACCTCCTGACACACCTGATTTTCTCTAGTAGCCTTCCACCAAAGAACAATTTAATATGTCCCTGCTGAGTTCTTGAGAGCTGACAAGAATAAAAGCTGAGGTGTTACGGCTGGAGGCCATATTAATTTTTTAAATCATGAAAAATACATTAACAAATGTTCTTTAAACACGCTTTAAAGTTATGAAACTACATCGAGTTCAAACTAACAATGTAAGCTTCTGGGGAAAGAGGAGGCAGAGAATGACAGTGATATCTTTTAGGTCTTTGCAAATAGTAGCACCAGCAATAAGTCGTCATCAGATAATACATAATTCTTTCGGCGTTGCATTCGTACTTGTGCTGTGTTGTATTTCTAAAGAGTAGAAATTCCAATTGAACATTGTTTAAAAGAGTATCATCAATTTTCTGGTTTGGTATACAAAGTTTATTCATGTCTGCACGTCTGAGTAGACTAACCCCAACTGATCTGACAGCTTTCAGCAAGCATGCTCCTTGCTACTACCTTATAATGTTTAAATCCACCTATTGTCTGCTCCTTCCTCTACTCCACGTTTGAATTATTTTGTTGCAAAATGAAATGTGTGCTTAGTAAGAGAAAGTCAGCAATGGATGTTCTGTGATGTATATTAACCATTTCCACGTTCACAGGAAAATGGAGAATTACCAGACTGACAGCTGAGAATTCATTATTTACCCAGACAAATGCCTTTTATTAAGCAATCACCAATACAGAGTAAAAAGTCTGTAGCCATTCCTTGCAACTACTGCTGAAGGGATCTTTGTGTAGATCCAGAGACCTTACACCAAGAGAGCACCATCTCACTGCACAGTGGAGATAACTTCTCTGAGACAGATGGATTAAAACATGGGCTATGAATGACAGGGAATGAAAAATCCCTGTGCTAAAACAATGGTATTTTAGTTACTTTCACTGTCATGAGCTTTAATTTACAAGTAAAGATATTAAGCTCTCTGAAGGCCAAGATGAATATTCATACTGTGTATTTTCTCGAAAAATAATTACTGTAGAATGGATTTCAGCTGAGGCAGTTGCTCCCTC